ACACCCGTCTAATTTCTCAAGTATTAATTTGTCTTGTTTTGGCTTGTTCGAGAACCGTCCTTCGTTGAGGCAGCCTTACTCGCTCCGTGTAAAGGACCTGGCCGAAGAAACAGGTGTGCCTCTTCTCTAACACAGTTTGATGTCTCCTGCAGCATATCTGCCACCATGACAGCGGCAGCTTATAGACTGTGATGTCTCTTTTGTTGAAGTCACAAAGCACGCACCACTTGCACACATACATACATAATTCCTACACATACATAATTACGCGTTCGACGCGTAATTCGAAGGTCGTAGGTTCGATTCCTGCTCACAGTTGGTAATTTTTTCATCCACTTTTTTTTCTTCTTATTTATATTCCATTGATTTTAATAACTTCCCCTGTACATTCCTTGGCATTACTGTCTGTTATATCTCATATATATATATATATATATTTACCTAAGGCCGCATTTTTTCGTGTTTTGACCCAATATTATTGAGCTCTAACAGAAAATAATGCCAAGGAATGTCATGCGGACATTATTAGAACCAATGTAATGTAAATAAGAAGGAAGAAAACTGGGTGAAAACATAAAAATGACTTGCCGTGAGCAGAAATCAAATATACGACCTTCGAATAACGCGTTCTCTACTCTACCAGTGAGCTACCTCGGCGGCTATCCTGCCAGCCACTTGATTGGGTATCGAACGCGCTAATCAAAGGTCATAGGTTTGATTCCTGCGCACGGCAAGTTATTTTTTCACCCATGTTTCTTTCTTCTTATTTCCGTTACATTGGTTCTGCATTATTGTCTTTTAGATTTCTCTTATATATATATTTATATATATATATATATATATATATATATATATATATATATATATATATATATATATATATATATATATATATATATATATATATATATATATATATATATATATTTATATGAGAAATCGTGCTCACGGCTGGTTATTTTTTCATCCACTTTTCTTTCTTTTTATTTACATTCCATTGGTTCTAATAACTTCCCCTGTACATTCCTTGGCATTACTGTCTGTTAGATCTCATTAATATTGTGTTAAATTATGGAAAAACGAGCCCTTAGGTATACACCTCTTTCCCTTATTCATATATATATATATATATATATATATATATATATATATGAAATAGATGATCAGAGTTTCTTCCGGCTACCGTAATAAAAGTTATAAACTTCGAAAATAGTGCAGTATAGGAAACAAAACAATAAAATATTTATTTAATCCTAACAGTTTCGGCTGGTGGACCATCCTCCGAAGAAGGCTGGTCCACCAGCCGAAACTGTTAGGATTAAATAAATATTTTATTGTTTTGTTTCCTATACTGCACTATTTTCGAAGTTTATAACTAATATATATATATATATATATATATATATATATATATATATATATATATATATATATATATATATATATATATATATATATATTCTTACGATGGGGCTCCTGTTTATTGATGAACGAATGGCGAAGGGTAGCCGCGCCGACACCGAGCTGCTTCCGCAGACCACTTCGTTCTCCTCTTCCTTCCTTCACACGTTGCCGCTTCAGCGTAACACTCCCCCTTTCCACGACGCAGCCCCCTGGGCGAGCATCAGTACTTCAGGCGGGCGACGTGAACGAGCTGCGAGCCTAGAACGGTAGCCACGAGATACGAGACGAGCTATTCAATATGTCACATCACTTACACGATCGACGACGATAACAGGACCGGTGTAACGAGCCAGGAGTTTCTGGTACAGGCAACGCTTGAAAAAGGGTGTTCATAGGGATACTTTTCTCCTTTTTCGTACGACGCGTTCTTCTGCTGTAAATCATAGGCGAACTTGGAGCAATCTTGGGATGCCAACTTACGGAGCTGAGATAGGCGGCGTGCTTCCTCCACGTGAAAGAGAGCCTGGGCAATGGAAGTGTCTTCATACACATGAAAAGGCAGAACGATGTCAAGAAATTGGTGGGGAGATATGACATAAAGAAGATAAAATGGACTCTAGCCAGAGGTTTCATGCTTTGTCGTGTTGGATGCGTAGGTGATAAATGATAAGATGTCATCCCAGTTCTTGTGCCTGAAGTCAACGTACACCGAAAGCATGTTGGTAAACATTCTGTTGGTGCGCTCGACGAGATCATTTGTCTGCGTATGATACGGGGTCGAGTGGCAAAACTGGCAAGCACAGAAACGCAAGAGTTATTCTACGACATCGGCTATGAATTGTCGACCACGAACACTCAGAGTATTTTGAGGCCGTCCATGGTGCAGTATCATAGAAGAAAGGAGCAACCTCAATACATCCATGGCCGTGGCTGTTGGAAGCATTTTCGTTTCCACGTAACGTGTCATGCGGTCGACGCAGACTATAATCCAACGGTTGTTGTTCAATGAGCGCGGAAATAGACCGAGAAGATTCACTCCAAACATTTCGAAAGGAGATGAGGGCGATGTCAAGGCGCGGAGAAGATTAACCGGAGTAGTACTTGGTCGCATGAATTGCTGGCATTTATCACAACTGGCCACATACTTATCTGTATTGCGTCGCATGCCAGTAAAATCGAGCTAGTGGGCGGTGGTACGTTTTGGCGAACCTTAGGCGCCCCACTGATGCGTCGTCGTGCATAGCATAGAGTACGTGTGTTCTCAAATTTTTGGGGACCACTAAAAAAAGACGGATACCATCTGCTGCGTGATTTTTTTTTTAAGTAAGTCATTTCGGACGATAAAGCCATGGCTACCTATGAGTTGAGTGGCTGAGTCAAAGAGATCATCCAAGCTGCAGTCGTTGTGCTGTTCTTCCCAGAAGGTAGCGCGGTCAGGAAAAGCAGTATCATCGATGGCAACTAGAAAATCGTCAAAATTGTCAGCGTCACATAAAGTGCTTGGTATGGGAAGCCTCGAGAGACAGTTGGCGTCTGCATGATGGTGGCAACTTTTGGAACAGGTGTCTATTCAGTATCTAATATCACAAATATATGACAGTGGCACACAAATCAACAGGGGAAACAGCACGATATGATAATAAAAGTACTATATCACAAAATTATAGTGTATACGGGGAAGTCTGCACAGCAATAAAGGGCATTTTTCAGTCACGTAGGAGATCTACGTGATAACATGGGTTATTATGTACAGCGAATAAATTTAACAACAATGCGTTAAAACAGCTCGATGAATTAACGAAATCAGACGTAAACAACCAGTAACAATGCGCTAACATAACTAACAAGAAACAGGCCTAAAGCAACGAGAACAGCACTATGAAGAAAACATAGCTGAATTATGTGGAAATGATGATAAAGAAACATAAAAAACACCCAAGTTAAAACTTAAATACATGGCATTCATGACAATGAAATATAACAAAATTCTAGGTAACAGGCTGAAAAGTGATGAAAGCGGCAGACATGTGATATTAAATTTAGCCTTGTCCGTGACATATATAGTGATCCCGTTGCTTAACGTGCGCCCAGGAACTTCAATTTTCTTGCGCTCCCGTTAAAATCGATTGACAATGCTTTAAATTTGTAGAGGAGGAATTATTCGCGTGCTTCCCGTTTGCGGTGAAATTTAAAACCAGATTCTAATATGCTTGTTGTTAGGTGATCGAGTGAATTTCCTGTCACATTCAGGTGCTTAGATAAGGATAGGTTAGGAAAAGTTGTGATATGCGCCTTGAGATAATTAAAGCGCAGTCTGAATGGTGTCGCTGTCTGGACTAGGTGCTGGAGCTTACAGACTAAACACTCAAGTAGGTACACACAGTTATTTGTATCGCAATCGTAATCACCTTTAATTTTCATTCTGAAATTTGACACCAAAATCTGGGTTGAAATAGAGGTGATCAACTGAGGCAAACCTTGCCACGTGGTTTGCAACAAGGGTGGCAACCTGAATAGGCAGGAAAAATTAGTACAGATCAAGTGAGCATATTGTGCGAGTTTCTCGGCCGACGATAGACCACACGTGGCGATTGCGAAAGTATGTTTTTGAGATGGTCACTCTGCATGAGAAGGTTGTGGTGCCTTCGTAGGCAGTAGTTAACGTTTGGTGCTGATGCGCAATGCGTAATATTATTATGTTTGCAGATAGTCGCTGTTGAGCAGGCTTGTTAGAGTGATGGAGCTCACTCCTTTCCATTGCACTAGCACGTTTAATGCCATCGTCAATTACCTCAGCCGGGTATATTTGTCGTATTAGCGCATCACTGAGTTTTTCACAATTATCTCGGAAGTCAGATTGTGCGGAGCACAACACTTTAAAACGGAGTGCCTGGCTGTACGGTATGCTTGCCTTGTTGTGTCTTACGTGGCCTTATTCAAAGTGAACCTAGCGGTGTCTATCAGTCGGCTTTCTCTAAAGCTAAAGCTTTGTCTTTAGTTGATCACCTGATATGCATACCGTGACGTCCAGAAAGTTTGTTTCATGCTGAGTAGAAGGGCGAGAAGGAGATTGATTTTTGCATATTGATTGATTTGTGGGGTTTAACATCCCAAAACCATTATATGATTATGAGAGACGCCGCAGTGGAGGGCTCCGGAAATTTCGACCACCTGGGGTTCTTTAACGTGAACCCAAACCTGAGTACACGGGCCTGCATCATTTCCGCCTCCATCGGAAATGCAACCGCCACAGCTGGGATTTGATCCCGCGACCTGCGGGTCAGCAGCCGAGTACCTTAGCCACTAGACCACCGTGGCGGGGCGATTTTTGCATATATATATATATATATATATATATATATATATATATATATATATATATATATATATATCAGAGTCAAATTCCAACTACTGGCAAGATAACATTATTTTTATGCTGCATGATGGCTCTTGCCCATATCTGAACACATACAATGTATGTGAAACTTTCTGCAGTCTACTTTCTCTTTATTTGTTTATCTCACACTTTTTGTTATGAAAACAAGTTGATGACATCATGCCCTGTTATTTTCTGTGCTTTTATCACTTGTGTGCAGGCTCCGGAAATAACATTCTGAGCATGGCTTCTAATGTGCTGTTCCAGCCGGTGATCAATTCCTTCCTCTGCGTAGACTCGTTCTTCTTTCTCAGGCAAGTATTGAGGGGGCCCAGATGCCTTCTGCTTCTACATCACACGCCTCTGAGCAGTCACGCTGCTACGCTTCTAAACCGAAAGCCGCTGGTGCAACAGCGGCGGTCGCTTTTCGATGGAGGTAAAAAGCTAGAAACCCGCGTACTGTGCAATCTCGGTGCACTTTTTAGATTTAGATTAGATTTTATTTATTTCAACATTCAGGATGCTGAGGGCCGTGGTCAAAAAGCCTCTAATGGGCTTGACTGGGACCACGACCCCTTGCAAATGGGCAGCATAGGCTACACTTTTATTGCAGTGACAATGTACAAAAATTTGAGCAAGCATAAAGCATAAAGTATACTAAGCATAAGCATAATAAAGCATAAGTATAATAAAGCATGAAGATTGAAAAGTAATAAACTTGAAAAGCACTTCCTGGAGACTGAATTATCTTTAGCTTGAGTCGTTTTGTGAGTCCATAAAGTGGTGAATGATCTACGTACATCTGGACTGAGTGAGGCGCTTTCGTGGAAGAGGCCACCAAATTAAATTTCTAGTTCTCAGCAGCGCTTGCCCCACCCTTACTGTTTCACAGCGGAGCGTTTGATAAGTGATGACTTTGTTTTATTCAGAAATTTCGAGTATGGTTGCTTCCATTGTGTCAGAACGGAACGAAAAACAAAAAGATGTGCGATATTTCTGATTGGTACCCTAATCCAAACTAATATCTATTATTTCATTTCAGAGTTGAATCTAAGAAATTTTTTATCAGCTATTGGTGTAAGGGACATCTTCGATGTCCGGAGCCGCCGAGCTCGTGAGTTTTCATGCAAACCTCAGGAGAGTGTGTATCTTAGGCAAGAATTCTAAAGCAAAAGTGTGTCGAAATTTTGAAAAGACGAAAAAATTGGCCCCCGGAGTTGGAGTGAATCATATTAACAGAAGTGGAGCTTGGTGTCACAAAGGACAGAGTAGAAAGTCCAATCTCGGCGCTTAAGTTTCTTTCGTGAAAAATGTGGTCTCGCCCATCAGACAATACAATTGATTACGTGCTGCTTCTGAAATCATGCTCACTGCTTTCAGCTGAACATTCAACCTGTTCAAAGTATTCGCAAAGCAGTTATGAGAAAATGGACTAGGTGTTTATATTGTTCCTTTATTTTAAATTTTGCCTCAATAACCAAAATAGCTTCAAACCGTTGTAGAACATTTTTCCCCTTTTTGAACAGACACGAAACCAAATATTCATTTGTTCAGTATAATTTCCCTCATAACTTCGAGCAACGGGAGGTATACCTCACCAACTCGGACCCGGAGGTTTACCGGAGGTAAGGCTTGCGCTTTTGGGTCAGGTCTTGCAGGTGACAGTAGACCATGGAACACGGGACTTCAGACCCCACCCACCGAGATACAAAATCCTTATCAACAAACTTCTTCGTCTTCTGAAACAAAACTTATTTTGATTTGATTGATATGTGGGGTTTAACGTCCCAAAACCACTATATGATTATGAGAGACGCCGTAGTGGAGGGCTCCGGAAATTTAGACCACCGGGGGTTCTTTAACGTGCACCCAAATCTGAGCACACGGGCCTACAACATTTCCGCCTCCATCGGAAATGCAGCCGCCGCAGCCGGGATTCGAACCCGCGCCCTGCGGGTCAGCAGCCGAGTACCTTAGCCACTAGACCACCGCGGCGGGGCAACTTATTTTCGGTCAAACAAAACTAAACTGAAACGAAAAACATTTGTTCTGACACCCTGGCTGGTTAATAGGTTTCCATACACGAAAGCAGCAAGAGAGCATGAAAAAACGAGCAACACTAACTACTCGTTCACATTGAGATGAATTTTACTAATGAATATGTTAGGCTCTAATTGTGGTACCTTTATGCAATGTATCGCTAAATTCCCGGAACAGCAAGATCGCCCACACGCATGAGAAGAGTTATTGTGGAATGCTTGACGTGGGTGATCATACGGTGCGCGACTGCAAGATGCTTGGACAACGTTACCGGATGCACATTTGTTTAACTAAGGTGTGGGCACAGTAGCACAAGAGAAATGAGCGCACTTTTGTGATGGTCAGCATGTTGCGTCATTGCAGTGGATTCCTCCTCACTTTCAACCAATGCAAGGTGCCTGTCAAGACGAAGCCCTTGGTCGACTTTTTTGGCAAACTTCTGGCTCGTTACTGGAGGTGAGATCTTGCACGTCTAAACATAAAAAAAACGGCAAAGCGTCTTTAGAAAGTACTGAGTTCAGGAATATTATTCAAGCTATTGCACACACGTTAATCTGACAATTTAACGCTATAAGCCTCATGCTGATGACAACTGTCGAGTATTTTATAAGAACGACTGTGGAAAACATGCCGAAATTTCAATGAGCGGGAAACTGTGCTCCTATCGTATGCTAGAAAGAAGTTGCTGTTTTTTCGTCCCATAGCTATATGATAAACGAATGGCCATTGCGCGTTAAAGAGGCCTTCACCTGTAACATAATTATCTGGTTTTCACTTGACCATACAAGACTAATACACCGAAATTTAGGAATAAAATTCAACGTAAGTGGTGTATGTATCTGCCACATGAATAATGATAGGTTCAACTAAGTCCATTCACCTTTCAGGTAGCTGCAGAGGAGTGTCTTCGATCTCCTTGCGGGCGCGGCATCCCGTGACTTCGTTTCTCATTTTTTTTTCGGTCGAGCAAGCAGCGCTCATTCTGTATGCGACCATGGTATGACAGACTTCCATTAGCTGAAGGCTACTGCGTGCGGATGACTGTATGTAAAAATAGACATGGCATAGGCTTCACGATGCATGCTGGCTTGATGCCACCCTTAGTTGGCCTTCAAACTGCAAGTATAGGCAGAGGCAAACAAACTGGGAGAAGCGCATAAACGACATGCAGCCGGCGTACCTATAGCAGCAGAACGGAATGCGTAGCTAGGCTGATGGAGCTACCAGGATTTCGCGCTCCGAACTTTCGACATATGCAAGTCATGTCGTGGTTGAGCTGTATACCCTATAAATTATATTACTACCGATAGTAATCGATGTGACTATGTTTATTAGGATCCTTAAACGTGTTCCACGTTTGGCTCATGCAAACGAATCAGAAGTGCGTTATAACAATATTACGAATAAACTAGCACAGATTATTATAATATTTAGAGCTTTCACTAGTTCCGGTTTATAAAAAAGGCCACTTTTTATGCGCTACGCGTATTTACCTATGCGATTTTCCCCCGTTTCGCTTGAAGGTGTCTCAAAAGAAAGAGCATTTTAACAAATTTTGAGAGCATTACTGTAATGCCCAGGATCATGGTTTACCAATGCGCTCGGATAAATGGTAGTTGTTCACTATAGGGTCGCGCTCCATTCGCAGGTTGGTTCCAGTGGCTGCGGTGTGCATGACGGTGCTGTTTCTGCTTCCTGAGCTGGCCTCGGGTCCCATCTGGAGCGAGAAGGTAGCACGGGCCATCGGAAACTGCCACCGTTCTTGGTGGTCCGTGCTGCTCAACTCACACAACTTCTACTCCTACGCAGAATCGGTATGCCTCTTATTAGTGCGTTCACACACTCAAACTTTGAACGTCGAATCATTGTTTGTGCATCACATTAGTCGTTCAAAGGAAGTAAGAACAGTCAGCCACCAGTTGTGCACATGTGAGTCCATATGCATGTGCAAGAAAGTGAAATTCGGACTTGCCTAGAGTGAAAGTGTGCCGTTTCAGAGTGGACACGTTAGAAAATCTACTTAGAAGCCACTACAGTGTCCCTTTTATTACTCACAGCAAGAGGCGGAGAATGAAGCGCTGTGTAGCCGTCATTGGTTGTGAGCGGAAAATCGCCATCTTGTCAATGACCGAAAATAAAGGAAGATGCGAATAAAATGAATAATAATTTTCGGGTGCGAGTGAGGACCGACACCATGCCACTTGCATGGCAAGCAAGCATTTTACGACACACCCGCGCGCCAACTTGAAAATACAACAAAAATAACTTGATCTGCTTGGAAATGCAGTTAAAATAATGTTGATGCTTTACGAACACACGCGTCCTGTATACAGGCTTCACACTACAATATGAAATACCGCAGTATATTGTGTGATGCACGCGCACATTGCCATCAGGCGGCAGAACATGTGATTACCTTAACGACTTTGTGGTTAAAATCTGGCCACACATTACAACAGGCACACATGTTGCTGCGCGTATTTCCTTAATACGACGTAGTTTATGCATCTTTCGAAAACATTTTACTGCGTAACTAGTCGTGTTTTAAAGCATGCTACTCCTTACACAGAATGCAGCAATATGCGAAAACTTCCCTGAAAAAAGCCATTTTAAACTTCATCGCTTGTGTTCTAGTAATATACAATGTAAATTTATTGAGTGAAAAAATAAAAAGTATGCACTTAGTTGGTGAAGTACACAAGTGGGACAGGATAACACTATTGTGTTGAAGTCTTCAAGCTGAAGCTAAAGGGTGCCCCAATGTTTAACTGCTCACTTACGTTACACTGTTGTGGACTGACAGTGAGAAAATTTGGCCACGTATATGCATGCATAGCTGCAAATTTCGTCGATATATGATAGAATTCTGCTGGCCAAGCAGCCATTTATGTTTTACCTTGCCTCAGACAGCACCTCCCCGATGTTGAATCATCCATCGGCTGCATGTGGCTGACATTGAATAAATAGAGGTGACTGAATAGAAGATGGATAGATCGATGCTATTACCATCTCATTTATAACGGGGCGGTGACATGTGTGGTACCAGGCTCGAGAGAAGTGGACATGAGATATGGACGCCATCTGGTAGTGCCGCCGGGAAAACATAAGCATGTGCAGAACTTAGGGTCACTGCCAGGTGGCAGCACCACATCGTCTCCAGAGCGCTTTTTCATGCATAGCGTGACATTTTTAGCGCAGCGTAAGAAACATTAGGGTATTTAGAATTATGCATCTATGTACCGTCTAGTGAAGCAGCACAGTGCCTTATACTTAAGTATTGGTTTTGAGCCTCATATCTGCGTAATATTTGTTTTTGATCAACAATGTTCGCAAGTATGAATGCAGCCACCATTTTAAGATGACTGGGCGTTCAGCAAGTGCTTAAACTTTGGCTGGGTGGCTGACTTATGTGACAGACACACCAAATATTTTCTTTAAATATGACACGTGAACTATTGTTCCTTGGCCACGTTATCAGCAAGTCGGGAGTGCTCCCTGATCCACAGAAAACAGCTGCGATCGCCGACTTTCCTGCACCCACCGACAAGAAAGCAGTACGCCGATTTCTTGGCCTCTGCGCTTATTACAGGCGCTTCGTGAAGAACTTTTCGCGGATCGCCGAGCCACTGACGTACCTCACGAAGGCCGACGTCGACTTCAAATGGGAAACGCCGCAAGTCGAGGCATTTCAAGAATTAAAGCGACGCCTGCAAACGCCGCCAATACTGGCGCACTTCGACGAAGAAGCTGACACCGAAATTCACACGGACGCAAGCAGCACAGGGCTCGGCGCCGTGATCGTGCAGAGGACCGACGGACTTGAAAGGGTCATCAGTTACGCTAGCCGGTCACTTTCGAAGGCAGAAGCCAATTATTCCACGACAGAAAAGGAATGCCTTGCCATCATCTGGGCTACATCAAAGTTCCGCCCCTACCTGTACGGCAGGCCTTTCAAAGTCGTGAGTGACCACCACGCCTTGTGTTGGCTAGCTAACTTGAAGGATCCATCAGGGCGCCTCGTACGGTGGAGTCTCAGACTACAAGAATTTGACATCACCGTCGTCTACAAGAGCGGACGAAAGCACTCCGACGCCGACTGCTTGTCTCGCGCCCCTGTCGATCCGCCGCCCCAGGATGACCAGGACGACGACTCTTTCCTGGGACCCATAAGTACCGACGACTACGCGGAACGCCAACGAGCTGACCCGGAGCTCAAGATCCTCATGGACTACCTGCAAGGCAAGACCGCCGACGTGCCGAAAGTATTCCGCCGAGGACTGGCTTCGTTTTTTCCTGCGAAACAACGTCCTCCTGAAGAAAAACTTCTCGCCGCTCCGCGCCGACCACCTCCTCGTGGTACCTTCAGCGTTACGTCCAGAGGTTCTGGAAGCATTACACGACGACCCGACAGCCGGACATCTTGGTGTTTCCCGCACACTGTCACGAATACAAGAGAAGTACTATTGGCCTCGCCTCGCTGCCGACGTCGCCCACTACGTAAAAACATGCAGAGACTGTCAGCGACGCAAGACGCCGACAACTAGGCCAGCCGGACTTCTGCAACCCGTCGAACCACCTCAACGGCCATTCCAACAAATCGGCATGGACTTACTGGGGCCGTTCCCGACGTCAACTTCTGGCAACAAATGGATTGTCGTAGCGACTGACTACCTCACCCGCTATGCCGAAACAAGGGCCTTGCCCAAGGGCACTGCCGCCGAGGTCGCCATGTTCTTCATTGAGAACATCGTCCTCCGCCACGGAGCCCCCGAGGTCCTCATCACCGACAGAGGTACGGCCTTTACGGCTGACCTAACGCAAGCGATCTTGAGGTACAGTCAGACAAGCCACCGCCGAACCACCGCGTACCACCTACAGACGAATGGCCTCACCGAGCGTCTAAATAAGACCATCGCCGACATGCTGGCCATGTACGTGGACGTCGAGCACAAGACGTGGGACGCCATACTCCCGTATGTAACCTTCGCGTACAACACGGCCGTGCAGCAAACGACGCAGTTTGCTCCATACAAGCTCGTCTACGGACGGAGCCCAACAACGACGCTTGACGCCATGCTACCGGTCGGCACCGACGAAGAAGACCTCGACGTCGCCAGCTACCTGGATCGCGCTGAAGAAGCTCGACAGCTAGCCCGCCTGCGTATCAAGAGCCAACAGACGGTCGACAGGCGCCACTACAACCTTCGACGACACCACACCGAATACCAACCAGGTGACCTTGTCTGGGTCTGGACGCCGATACGACGACGGGGATTGTCTGAGAAGCTCCTGCGACGCTACTTTGGACCCTACAAGGTAGTCCGACGTCGTGGTGAACTGGACTATGAGGTCGTGCCCGATGGCTTAACGTCATCCCAACGACGCCGTGCACGACCCGAAGTCGTACACGTGGTGCGACTTAAACCTTATTACGCGCGCTGATTAGCTGTGACGCATTGTTAATGTAATTTATTGCATGTACTCTCTCTTATGTTCTGTCTTTAGCATCGGGACGATGCTTTTTCAGAGGGGGGTAGTGACACGTGCGGTTCTTTTGGTTTACGAAGGAAGACGCTATCACTTTCTGTTAAGCGCAACGCAGGCCGCGTTTATCTTGTATGCCACTCTGGAACGCGTTATGACGCGTGTATAAAAGACTGACACGTGCGGTTCTTTTGGTTTACGAAGGAAGACGCTATCACTTTCTGTTAAGCGCAACGCAGGCCTCGTTTATCTTGTATGCCACTCTGGAACGCGTTACGACGCGTGTATAAAAAACTGACACGTGTGGTTCTTTTCGTTTGCGAAGGAAGACGCTATCACTTTCTGTTAAGCGCAACGAAAGGCGTTTATCTTGTATGCCACTTTGGAACGCGTTACGACGCGTGTATAAAAAGCCGGCGCAGTGCGCCACTGGGGGTCTTTTTTTTTCCGTTGGCCGACGACTGTTCACGCCGCTGTTGCTGTGAGTTGTGTTTGGCCCTGTTTTGATGGGCACAAGTTCGCCCAATAAACAGTTCGCCTGACACCGCCCTGACTCCTGCGTGCTTCCTCCCAAGTGCTGCGTGTATCACAACCTCGTGACAATATCAAAAGTAAGACTGTCAACTTTGAAAAAAAAAGCCTAAAAGGCCACTCACCAGGCCCCATACCGAATTTTAGTTAGACAGTGGAAGTTGTTGGGTGTCCGATGAGGAACGTTTTGCCACAAAACTTTTTTCAGGTCGGTTCATTACGAGTAGAGAAAACAGGTTTTTTGAAGCGGCGCGAAACGAGGGTGAGAAGAGGCAAACTCTAAACCCTTGCCACTCCTCCGCGTAGCCTTCGCAAGGCAAGTCTCTTGCCCGCCCTCTCCGGCATCCGACCAAGAGGTGACGTGCGCATGACGTGCCCGAACAAGCCCGGCCCCTGTGCACGTGAATGGCGTTGCTTTGTTGACCAGCGTTATTTTGTGGCCTTCTGCGGGATTGTTTGGAAACGCTGGCTTAGACGCGGTAGAGTAGATGAGCACAATCAGTGCGCGAACGCGTAGGAGCGTTCCACGGTGGTCGTCTGCTCAATGCGCTGACCGCGGGGACACGACCGCATGCGAAACGCTGGCACATTGGCCCGCATCTCGAAGCATTTTACGGGAAAAAATTTCAGAAAAACGTGCACAATTTTTATTGCGTCTCGTTATTTATTTCAAGTTCTATTCATATCTAAAGCAACAAATGCATAAACTACGCATGTTGTGTTAAATAATTTTTGCCGTGCCACGTGGTATACTGTTGACAACGTCAAAGCAGAGTCGTCTAAGTAGAGAACAACGTCCCTGCATTGCCGAGTACGTAGGGCCATTCCTACGCCCACATCATGCCCTCATTCTCTACGCGTGCGCCGGCAGAGGCGAGCGGGAGCAGCTTTCATCTTAAAATTTGACCCATTTCAGCGGCGCGTAGCGTTGCAAATTTTGGCAGACGTGATTATGAACGCCTCATCCACTCATTGCGCTTGGATTGGATAAACTTTTATTTGGTCATCCAAAACACATATCACTGTGTTGCGGGCAGCTCCCACGTGGGAACTGAGATGCCAAGCTCCTCAGCCACCTCGCAGGCTTGGTGGCCAGCCCAGAGCTGATCTGCCAAGGACGAGCGGCGGATTGCCGCCTCCCTTTTGGCAGACTCATTGCGCTTGTCAGCTCAAAATTGTCAAACCTGGTGAGTGGCCCTTTAACTGAAGGCTATAAAGCTATGGGAAGCGTTCCTCAGTTCTTTATCGGATGAAAAACGCTTACTTCACTTTGGTGACTCTGCTTAGGCATCAGCAATATAGGAAAACATTTCTAAACTGGCATCGGCCACTACAATGCGTCAGCTGATCAACCAACACTGACAGGGGAAGCTGATCAACAGAAACCAGGTCTTCTTATCACAGCATGTCTAGAGTCGGTAAAGTTTGTGTTAGTCACTGAAGACGAGTTTCCTCGAAAGGCCGACCTTGTGGCACGGGCCGGGTTTTGGATGAAAAGGACAGACAGGACAGATAGACAAGAGGACGGGCGGTGGATTGAAGAGCCAGACAGACAGGTAGACAGATGGACGGGGCGGTTGGATGAAGAGGACAGACAGACAGACAGTCAGAGTGACGGGCGGTGGCTGAAGAGGCCAGAACAGACAGACAGATGGACGGGTGGTTGTTATAAACAGACAGCCAGCCAGGACAGGACAGATAGATAGCGGGCGTTGGATGACACAGGACAGCCAGACAAGGGACCGATAGATAGAGGGGCGGTTTGGATGAACAGACAGACCGACGGACGGAGAGAGAGACAGAGAGATAGAGTGAGAGGCAGATAGACAAAGAGACAGATAGACAGACAAAGAGACAGATAGACAGAGTGACAGAGAGACAGATAGGACCACATGGCCGATAGGACAGGCATAGAGGAGATCTATCTACTCTATCTGATCTATCCTAATCATATCATCTATCTATCTATCTATCTATCTATCTATCTATCTATCTATCTATCTATCTATCTATCTATCTATCTATCTATCTAAGTAGTACGTGAGGCACGACCACGCCAAGCTTCGCTTGCCGGCCTTTCCCTGATTGAGCAGGGGCTCCTGATTGTTACCGCTAGGTTTATTGCAGGCAGCAAAGCCAAGCTTCATGTTTGGTTAGCTTCCCAGACGCTTCTCTTCGTGGAAGCTTAGAACGCTCTGCTAAGCTCGAGGTCACAGGAGGTTTTATTCTGGGCCATGACAGCCGTTTTCATAGGGGTGAATTGCAATCACACTTGAACTTAGGAGAACCCAAGGTAGTTCAAATGAATTCGGAGTCCTCTGCTATGGCGTGCCTCATATTCATGTCATTGTTTTGTCGCATGTAGGCAATCATTTATCTGAACGATGCTGCTTGTTTCTATTTTTGTTAAGAAAAAAATATGCTTTACATTAGTCTCCTCCAAGCTGAAAGTTCAGCCTGATCCTTTTATGGGATTGTTACAGCACAGCTAGCTTTCTATATTATAACCGTGCTTTCTCTTTATTTCTTACATTTCAAATAAAAATAAAAACACTTGCACAATTTAGGTCCTGTTTTGGTAGCATACATCAGTAGTGCTCCTTAAATGAGCCTATGGAGCCAAGAACCAGGCGCTGGTCAGGTAAAATCTCAGTGTAAGCAAGTATCATCCTTATATATATGGTTTGAGCAAGGGCAGGCCCACGAAAAGTGTTGAATCTAGATGACAGATAATTTCGTGTTGCTACAGCACAGCTGAGTTTCAGGAAGAGGCAAAAGTGAAGGAAGGAATGACAGGTGGCATGATTGCCGTCCTCGCTTCTGCCTTCATGCTTCAACATAGCTTCCCTATAGCCATACGACATTAATCAGCACTATCTGTCTATGATGACAGAGAAGAAAAAAGTGGGCATCACTCGATGATCCCTGAAGGTTTCGTGGCCACTCAGCAGATGTTACTTAGGAAATTATGCCCAGCCATTTGTGGCTTCGATAACTGTAGCGGCATCTATTGGTGGTGGCTGCCTTGTGGCGGCATCCCTAAATAGGATACGACGTTTATACATTTACTACAATACAACCCCTTCATATATGCTTAAATCACATCGTCTACATGCTTGTTGATAAATACTCATAAAGGCAGAGCATTCTAAACTGGAGCGCTGCTGATGATTAGTTGCAGTGAAGTAGAATATTCTATTCTATTCAGTTCTTTATTTCATACAAGAACGTCTCGGACACAAGGGCGAAAGAAAGATATGCTCAGCCTCACGGAACGCCAAAGCCTGAATGCGCACGCTCAGAGCATATACAAACAGAAGTAATATTACAAATTATGAACACATACAAAACACAGTTTCATACCATGTGAACAACAATCATAGTTTTACAATAAAAAAGGGAATGAAACCACAAATAACGACTTTTAAAGAACACAAACCACTACATATACCACTTGTTCGTCTTGAGAAAACAAGAGGAGGTTAATTCTGACATCTTTTTAAACATTCTACACCTTCACTAACAGCCACACCAGAATTCAAGCACTTGTTATACCATTGGAATAGTAAAATATGTCAAACATGTGGAACGGAAGTCGCAATCATTAGACTGCGCTGTCAAATTCCACAAGTAAATCTATATTTACACAGAGCTGGTCTGGCAGCGTCCCCTCATTGTTCTGTTTGTGGAGTAAATGAGTCAACTGAACATTACCTCATTTATTGTATTAGATTCTCTGCTTTACATAAAAACACTTTTGGGGCTGTTGGCCACCTTCTCGGAATAGATTTGAATGCTCAAATTGTGCTGTTTTTCGGGGCTTTGTCTTTTGTCCCCAGTGAAGGGAAGATGGTTGACGCATCGCAGGAGTTCGTCGAAAGTTCAAAGAGGTTCAAGAGTTGAAATCATTGTTCGGTAGATTTTGAAATTTCCGAATTCATAATAAATCAAATACGACGCTTTATTGCAATACACTACAAATTATTTACAATTCAACCATCAAATTCATCTTGTTGCATCTTTCTTTTATTTCTCGTAAATAGATAAATTTTAACCTGTTATGAAGAAATTCATGAAAACTATCCGGTTTTTGGCCGATTCCCTTGCGTGGGTATACGCCACATTGTAATAAATCTTCACCTGACTTGAGTTGTCAAGGGACAATGCTTCTGTATAACTTCTATGGTCTGTGTATGTTAACATTTGGGTTCAATAGGTGGTCCAGACAAATAAAATTCCGTAACTGCCATGCCTTAATTATTAAGCCACATCACTATTAAGTATGTACAATATGCTTAGCTTCATTTTATAACTGAAACAACTTTATAACACAAAATAAACCCACATGGTCTTCGTATGAGAGTTTTTAACATAACGTATCACAAGATTAGTTTTCATTGTCAAAAGCAGTATTCTGTACACATAAGTGAAAATTTCAATAAATTAAGGTGTAATTTGACTGCCGTTTTGAAGATTTAGGAACAAGGTTTCTAAGTTTCTTGAATACTTTCTGCCATTCCGACAAAAGTTCTTTGTTTCTTCGTCGACCCCTGCTCGACCAAATGATGCCGGCCACCTTGCCGCTCATGCCTACAGTTACAGTAAATGAGCAACCCGCCCGTTTACTGTAACTGTACGCTAAGAGGTCTTCAAAAATACTAAGGCACCCTACTTTCTCTCAAAAAGGAAAACTCCCAAAATACGCGATGTTTTAAAACTTCAAACACGTTTTAAACAGCAATATGAACTGTTGAGGCGTGAAGCATGAGGGCTCCACTGATATGCTTTCAATGGACGGAGCATATACGAAGTTCACTGCAACTTCAATTCTCGGTGCACTGCCGTGAATTCAGTATTGACTTGGCGTAGGGTGTAGCCCGATACATTCACGATGATACTTAGACAAACTCAACGTCTTCGTGTGCATTCCTCGAAAGACCTTAGCAATGCTGTGGAGGTGCTGTGCTGTCTCTGTTTATATCATTTTAACCCTCTGTTGGCCAATCAATAGACCTGTTGCTAGTTTACGGTCTGTGCATTTGCTTCTTTCTAATGCTTTCTACTGCGTGAGTCGTGCGTGTTTTATTTGTTACGCCGAAAAACGTTTTATTTGAATTTGATATGTGGCGTTTAAAGTGCCAAAACCACAGCATGACTATGAGAGACACCGTAGTGGGTGCAATGTCTTGCCCCAATGCTCCAGCGATGTAAAATTAAGGTTCAGTACTGCCTCACCACTCAGTCTGAGTCTTCTTTCCAGACATGCATTCACAAATACATGATAGAGAGGAGGAGAAACATCTACACGGAGCTCGCCTAGTTATTAGGACCAAGTGGTTGGTCGTATTCCGACTTTCCAATTCTGTACTCCATGACATCGTTTTACGCGTCCGATGCGTAAATAATAAATATGAAATTGTGACCCGTACTTGTCTCGCACGCCAGGTTAGCAGCATAATACGCAATGTATGAGCATAATTTTTGCTTCGGTAAGATTTTCTGTTACCGGCTAATATTACATTTTAATATGTCAAGTGCTGCTCTCTTGTTTTGCAGTGCCAACCCCACTACTGGTACATCAGCGCTGACCTCCAGATATTTCCCGTTGTGCTTGCCACATCTATACTTATGGGCAGGTGGGTCCAATTATTAACATAATCTGATCAAGTACTTCTTGAAAATTACAGACTTCGCCATAGAGGGCTCAGCATAATACTACAGACTGAGAGATATTGCATTTTTCTTTTTAATTCCGTGCCCAGGACGGTGCTCTCATATTTCACTTGTGCGTGTTGTTTTTATTTCTCGTACTTCAAAGCCTTTTTTTATACTGAGACAAGTACGTAAGTCGTATGACATATGACAGCACCTACATGGCATTTTCTTGTTTTTAACTACCATTTCACAATATTCCGTGGCTTGTGCCTAAAAAATGTTCTCCAGTAAAGACTACATGTGCGATGCTCGTGCATTGTCCCGGAAAAAAATCTTTTCATCATCGTAGAGCTCTTGGTAGCCAAATTCTCATATGGCTTTTTGTCTTTGTTTTCTTTCTCGTTGTTCTTCCTCATTCCCCCTCCGATGCTACAATTCTCTTTCACCTCCCTACCTTTCTTTCAATTTCTTCTCTCCTTCTGCTCAGATACCGACGTTTATTGTTATGACTTGTCGTGTTACATTGACCGTTTGCTCGACAATGACATTGTTTTGCAATTCGGGAAAAACATTATTAGGCCATGGGACACCAGACTCTGTTATGCAATTCTGATCTAAATACGGTTGAGTTTTTGTCAATTGAAAACATGCTATTGAGAAACAAAATATTGAATGCGAAATTGCAAACAAGAAAGTTTTATGCAAAAAAGCTTTATGAGAATTGAGACTTTCGACCTCGATTACATTGCTCAGACCTGATTTTTTTTCTGCCCCTGAATCGGTGTCGCCCTCTGCGACCAAATGACAGTGAAATCTGACGACGCGTCGAGTAATAATATCGCATATATGGAGGCACTCAATGACATCATGGTGGTGCCACACAACGTCGTTATGGCATGACAGCATGACGTCATTACTGACGCGGGTTCTTCTAAGACTTCATTCGCATGACATGCTTTGCCCAAAGGATTGGACAATGAGGCATCTAAATGTATCACCTTAACATAAAAGCGCTGCCATGTTTCTTGCTTGGTGTACGTCATTGTTGCCCTTTAAGTATGTAGAAGCAATACATTGCCGCAACTTGAAGAATTAATTTTCGCTCAATTGGAGTTGCAGTTTGCATGATTTGTTGTATCTCCTGGTGCTGCATTAAAGCAAAGTAATGGGCAACGTCGGTGCAGGAATTTTGGGTTGTGCGCACCTGAGCCCGACGAGTGATTCGCATATGCTTTCCTAGTGAAAGAATTGGTCATTTAAGTGTCACACCTCATCAGAACTTCACAAAACGTCCTTCTTTTGAATATTGTGAACGCATTTTCTAAGTTTGAACGCTATCGGTGTTGCTTTAGCTGATTATACTGTGTTTGGCTTCTCATTTTATTGTTCGTCATGCGTGATAAACTAGCTAGTTGGCGAGTAGTGAGCGCGATACGCATGATATGCATCTGCCCACTGCACATTTGGAAAACCCTCATGTAGGAGTAAAGCAAACCGTGTTCGAAATACCTCGAAAGTACGAAGACAGCAATTGAAGTGTTGTTGTAGGCCCGTGTGCTCAGATTTGGGCGCACGTTAAAGAACCCCAGGTGGTCAAAATTTCCGGATCCCTTCACTACGGCGTCTCTCATAATCATATGGTGGTTCTGGGACGTTAAACCCCACAAATCAATCAAGCAATTGAAGTGTTTCATTTTCTCTAGCTGTCGTGGTATCTTTCAGTTGAATACGACTTGAAGTTGTAGGCAGATAAGCAGTATGCTAACTAGACTAAAAGAAAAATGCAGTTCATCCTAATTCAAGGCATCATAAAAAACAATGCGAAAATCGCTTCTCTACATGTCTTCCTAGACTTTCACGTGGAGCACGAAGCAAGGACCAATGGTAGATACATCGCGTTAACAAGATGGAAAATTCGTAAACACTGTGTGCTGCTGACGCACACATTTCAAATAGCGGACTCGTCTTCTTCAGGGCTAGTATACACGTAGCTACAGCCTTGCAGATAAGTCCACTTGTCTAAATTCAGCGGTATCATGTGCTCACAAATTTTTCACTTCTATATAGAAGCTTACATTTTGCACTGTCTCGCTAATGAGGCAAACACCACCTGTAAAACAAATTGTTGTATCTGTGGTTACAAGCTCTGTGTCGAGGCGCTGCATCTGAACGTTTCTTTTTTTGAGCCTCTTACAGTACTTGCGAACAAGAGGCCAGATTGACAAAGCTTTTAATTTCTCAGTGTTTACTTGCGTTGTACAACAAATGTGCAATGTCACGATTGCCGAAAGCTCTTTGGCTAGCCTCTGGTGTTTTTGTGGGCACGTGTCTTCGAGTTTTGTGAGTAGGGATGTTGACGGCACCGTGTGTTACATGTGGCGTTCTCGGTCATCATAGGAACCTCAAGCTTGGTGTCATCATCTCCGCCAGTGTCCTAGTTGTAAGCGTTGTGGTGGTCGGTGCTCTCACTTATGTCAACGGGTACCCTCCGGCCATTCTCCTTCTCGGCAAGGACGTCCTGTGAGTAGACGTCAAGTTGAGTACACGCCTTTTTTGCGCGTCGCTCACATTCGTTTTGTTCAGATCCTTGCAGCATGGCGAAATGTTGGGACTTGCCAGCCGTTTACTAAGTCCACGGCGTAGCTCCTTCAATTCAACAACTTAGCGTAACGGTAATGATACGCAGTTTTTAATGAACTTTTAAATTGTGTGCCTGCTACTTGTATATGTATTTTTTATTCTTTGCTGGCAGATAGCCATTCCTAGTCCTTCTGCTGTATCACGCAGACTACGCGTCAAGCTGATATATATGACTGGCAAATAACAAACCCTTCCTATTTCTGCTATCAGTAATTTGTCTAAGCAAATGATAATTTGCGAATTGCGACTGGCAAGTTCCCAAGATTCAACTTTTTGAAACAAATCTAAAGCGGCCACCGGTCTAGGCGCGAGACTTGAAATGAGACAACGTGAGCTATTTGATGTGGGAAAATATATACGACTTCAGAGGTGCCTGTATTATCATTTAATCTTCAAATATTTTCTTGTATCTCCTTTTACTTTTTCGGTTTGACGTTTAGTTACTAGGTGCATGAATATGAACTGTAATATTCAGTTACCGGCTGGAAGCGTTTGCACATGCTCGCATACAGAAGAGAAATGCTAAAACTTAGAATGGCATTCCATCAAATCGCTCCACTGTAGATCTGCTTTATCACCTTGGAATATATATTCAAGATTATACTTGCTGAACTGTATATTGTGTATACAAATTCAGACTATGTTTTGCAGAGAGCACGATTCAGTTATTCTTGTATTTTGTTTCAAGACCACTAGTTGATTCCTGATGCTAATTATTCTCTTTTTTGTTCTGTTCGATGGCATCTGTGAATGGCGTTGCAGCTATTCAAAGGAGCTGCTCTCGGAGATCTACTTCCGGCCCTACGTACACATCGGTCCATATATAATGGGCTCGCTCGTAGCGTGCCTGTACCTCAATCGCCGGAACGTTCGCATCACACCCGTAAGCGACTCTTCAGTACTGCTACCATTGGCACGAATGCTTGTGTCTGCTCACTGGCTAAAACAATATTAGCATTGGCGTGTGGTTTCACTGGCACTAGACCTTGCAACTTAATGAGCAGAAGTGTGAAAAAAAAGTAACACGAATCAGTGCTGTGAGACCTCAAAAATACAGTTTGTTCGTGTCCCCAGGATTTTATCGAAACAAATTGTCATGTTCACTGACCACAAGCGCGAATACCAGAATTAGTTGTGATAACGAAGACAACTTACACAGGAATAAATGCATAATCATGCAAATGAAAATCTCTCAAGAAAGCTCTTAAAAATGCATGGACAGAAAATGCAACACAAATCGCTCATGGGACATTTTCTGCGGAAAAATCAGTAAGCTGAGTTAGTCTTTGAGCAAGTACATACGTTACCGTATGACAATAGCACTCCTACTTTCTCATTCATCGACCTTTTGCTTGTGAAGGCACCCCAACAAAATATTTTTTTTCAAAAATAATTATGTCAAATTTCATTGTTGCCTTTCAATCGCGCATTGTTAACGAGACTCCGTTCATTATGGGGACGCACTGTAACTAAAATGGGCAGCGGTAAAAGCACAATGAGAGGGAAAGGAAGAACGGTATATACACCATATTGTAGTACCGTGTTTGCGTACTATATTTCAGTAACTTGCTAAAACTCTCTAGTTGGCAGTTTTACAATAGCGTTTGCAATGATAGCGTTCCTTGTGTACGTAGGCTGTTTCCATCACTCAATGGGGCACGCAAGAGGGTAGCAACGAAGCATGCGCGATGGCGACAAATTCAAACGCAAAGTTTTGCATCATGTTCTAAAACTCCCTCGTCATTGTCATCTCTATTGATTTGGATGGTTCTCAGGAGAGCGTTGCTATTCTCTCGTTGCCACATAGTGGGCTATAGCTTGGACCAACAGTACTGTAGGCCAGCACGACCATTTTCAGCAGTCGAACTGTTCGTAGTTGAGGTTTTCATGATCGGCGTTATGATAGCGTTGATAACATGGCCTCATATTGTTGTGAGAGTGGGCCTTGGTAGGAAGTGAAGTGAACTGCATACAGTGCTTGCTGAAATTGAGAGATGAGAGAAAGGGTGGTAAATGCCGAAGGGTGAACCTTCGAAAAACGCGCCAAGATGGGGTGCCGGCGGGGCGCAGTGGAGTGGGAAGTGGCATGCCAGTGTCAGAAATTGGGAGGTTCCACTTTCAAGATGGTCAGCTTTCTCGTTCTCACGATGAAGAAGGCGTCCAGCGTGTACGTCAGCGACAGTTCACGCGGGCTTGTCATCGCTGAGCCAATCGCGTAAAAGAGACCAAAGCTCCGCGCCATTGGACGAAAGACGTGAAAAAATGTAGATGCAGCTTTATGAAGGATGGGCGCAAGCTTCGCTGTTACGACAGTGTTCGCGAAGTGGAGCTTCGATATAAACGCCTTATCAGCTCTGAAAAATGTGATCAAATGCCCCCATCTGTTAGTAAATTGACGACAAAGAGTCCCCTATAATAGAAACCATCGTGAGAGCGCAACAAAACACATAACACAGAAAGAGACGGACGAGGACAGGCGCAACCTCTCCTGTCCTCATTCGTTTCTCCCTGTGTATTGTGTTTTGTTGCACTCTCAAGATGGTTTCAATGTAAGAGCACCAACCCGCTTAACAGTCAAGTCTCTTGACGTCGCCTGTAAAAAAGCGAAAGCGCCGCTTGGGATAGCAAAACCTAGGAAGAAGGAAGAAGATGGTTATTTCAAATCAAGTTTGCCCCTGCAGTAATCTGAAAAAGAAGACACATCTTGGCTACATATTCTGTCACTGTCATGACGTATCCTTGACGAGCAGTAAGAGAATAATTTATCAGTTGCTGCTGTTATCACCATGCCACAGCCGCTGATGATGCACCGCCCATCAGTTTGACCAATGTTACCTATGTTGGCCAGTATGTATTTCAGATATCTTTTTTTTCTGCCATGTCTCTAGGGTTGTCAAGCAAGACAGGCACTACTTGTAGTAGAGTGACAGTTCACGTAGATTCGAAGGGCAGCGCGCGAACTTTTTGTGATAAGAATACCAGTATCCTGGTAGTAGATGGTCAAACAAGACTTGCTCTCGTGTGATGCACAGTTCCTGGAGGTTATCGGCTGGCTAGCGAGCGTGGCGGCTGGCTGCTACGTCAACTTGGTGACGGTGGCCTGGGAGGACGGCCGCTACCCGAGTCCACTTTGGTCGAGCGCTTACGCCGCGCTGCACCGGGTGGTGTGGGCAGCCTGCCTCGGCTGGGTTGTCTACGCGTGTGCCATCGGCAGGGGAGGTGAGTGCTTCAGCGAGTGTGAAATAGCAGTGATGAATGATCGTCATTTTTTCACTTATTTTGATCACCTATCTCTACAGTGCAGAAAGGTAAGAAACTACCTGCGCTAACAATGTATGATCGTTGTACTATATATGATTGCGTATTTACCCTACGTGAACAAGAAAGGAAAATCACCTTGAAAAAAAAAAACATTGCAAATTCAGCATTTTCAAAGCAAGAACCACTTCCGCGGAAGTGAAGTGCACGAATGTCGAGTGAATGCTTATAGTCGTCCAGTATTGACCGAGTGGCATTTAAACGAGGAACAATAAATAAAATTATAAAATTTGAACGCATGAAGAACATTTAACTGTCACTGCAGAATTGTGTACACAAGTATCTATATTTCACTAGAGTCGCTGTTAGGGTCACATTCCTCGCAAATTCTCTTTAGGGTGTCTGGAACTGTCTGAAGTGGAAATAACCAAAGCATCTAATTAAACACACTAACAAAAATTGTCTTCAAGCATGGTAGGAATAAATTTATATGCAATAACACTGACAATATACACAACGGGTGTGGCAGACGCATTGAGCACAACGAAGAGGATTGCCGTTAAGACTCGTGCCTTTTTTGTGTTGTATAATTATAAATGCTGAAATCATAATATTTTATTATTCCTGAGGCACGTAAATGTAACAGAACAAAATTAAAAAGGTCAGTTGCGGTCAGTATGCTTCTTCCCTCATGTAAGCACAACTCTTATGCATCTCAGTCGTGACCTCCACTAGTGGCTCTGAAATTGCAATGTCGAACGTGGGCACGAGCCATCATTCTTGTTCTTAGAAAACACTTGTGAATGGGTGCGAAATGCAAAAACACTCGCCGACTGAAATTTACGATTACATTAAAGAAAATCATGGGGGCAAAAATATTTTCAGTATTTGCCACTACGGCATACATTATAATTGTATCTTAGTTTTGGCACGTGTCAGGCCGTGGTGGTTTAGCGCCTAAGGTATACTCGGTTGTTGACCCGCAGGTCGCGGGATAAAATCCCACCTGCGGTGGCTGCATTTTCGATGGAGGACAAAGTACTGTAGGCCGTGCGCTCACATTTGGGTGCACGTTAAAGAACTCCAAATGGTCAAAATTTCCGGAGCCCTCCAATAATCATATGGTGCTTTTGGGACGTTAAACCCCACATATCAATAAATGCTTTGGCACGTGATCCCACTGGTTATTTAGCTCGCTTGTGATCATGTTGGATCAAGTTAACTAAATACCAACCATTGACAATATTCATAAAAACGCTATGCAATCAATTTGAGTTAAAGTGGATTTCTTGCAGCTTTAAACTGCCTTCTTATTTGAGAGAGGTGAACAGCCAATTATACTTGCTAATGGCTACTCTACTTTCACTAATTTATCTTACTGCTGCGGTACTTTCGAAAGCGATGCAGCGGGAACACGCGACTGCTTGGCGAACAGCCCAACTCAACCGGATAGCGCGGTTAAAAACAAAAGGCTGACGCATTTCAACAAACTGTTGTCACTTCCTTCCGCGAGTATGTTTTTACAGTGCTCAAAATGAATCGCACAAATGGCAGTCTGATATTGTATAGCCTGTCGTAGCACTGTCACGCAGTAAATAGCCGCACCGTTTTAAAAATGAAATTTCCTGCATCTTGATTCAATATTTTACATGCACAAGCCAGCGCAAACGCGGCGTAGAGCTGCACACCACCGTGCTCTGCTTGCGTTAAACTTGGGAGCGGCCAGTAAAGTGCTGCAGGGTGTGTCCTAATAGGATATAACATTGGGTCACCATTCCCGATGTTCATTCATGAAATTTACTGTATAGACATTAGCGCCACAAAAGTTGCATCGAACTTTGTTCTGGGAAAACAGTTTTGGTCGCCTGAAAAAAAAAACTATAGATAACTTTTGGCGATGAAAAACGCTTTGCCGCAAATTTAATATTTTCTGACATTTCAGCGTACGTCGGTAAAAAAGGTGCTCTTGTTAATCACAATATTCATTCCCCTTAAACAAACAAATCACAAAAAATGTCGTGCGACAATTATTTGCTTACGTGTTTAAAAACTTCAGAGGAAAAACCTTCGAACATTAGAAACTGCACACACTACCTGTATTTCAGGACTTTATTGCTACAAACAGCTTAAAATGATGATAAGGAAGCTCGGTACACATAAACTTTAATACTTACGCTCTCTTTTGAAAGTACTTTCGTGGTTTATTTGTGCGTTGTTTTACTGCATAATGGTGATGAAACGAAAGTGGCTTAGGAAAAAAACAACACCTTCCAAGCAGTCCGTACAAATGATTTGGCAGCGAAACGAGCCGCCTCGGTGTTTTTCCGTGGGTTCAACCCGACGTGGCAGAGAAAGGATCAAGAGCAAGAGGAAGTGATCTTATTGTCCTTTTTGGAACATATATATATGTGCGTCGTAGTGGTAATAAATTTAGTTGAAAGTCTGCGCTCGTTCTCGTCTCTTGTGTTAGTTGTCGGAAGTTTTTGCACAGAGAAGTTTAATAGTGGCATAGAAGCCTTTCACAATTATTGATTACCATTGCGTGCTTCTAAATTAGGGTAGGCACACGTTTGGCTTCGGGTTACCACAGTGTTTAATTAACATGTCGCACATTGTGCCTCACATGATCACGGTAATAGATGAGTTTATTGAGCGGTTAAATGCGTTTCGCGTGCGTTAATCATAGTGGTTCTTCTTGAACGACAGGCAGTCACAGACGTCGCAGTCGAAGCCAATCTGCCACTAAAGAAACTCGCGTCGAAAGCGGCTATTCCCTTCGGCGAACGCGCCCGTAATCATCACTTTGACAACACAATGACGTTGCAAGCATTTGACTTCGCGAGCTAATTCGGACGCTTTGTTTGCAGGTTCCACCCACCACCGGCACCTGCATTTCTGTTCGCGATTTATCACAGCTTGAAAGGTTACGCATTTGCTGCCGGCCCTCGGCCTCCCGGGCCCGTTTTGGTTGGTAATAAGTTGTAACAGGTCACAACTGACCAATTGAGCCTTGTAGCCACGCCGTTCGTTATGGGTTGAAAATTGGATTTAATTTGTTCAAAATAATTCTAGGCAATGCAATCACAAAAAGCAACTCCACAACAACAAATGCGTAGCCAGTTTGCACGGTACAGCAAGCTTTGTTTTGCAATCAGCCGCTTGATAAACCTGCAACATCGGCTGCTGGATGCTGGGAGCTCTCACATCCCGTAGGTGCCGCTTCGACGGTGGACAAGCTCCACTTTCACGTGAAAACTGCGCTCAGAGGACGAATGAGATAGAGAATGCATCACTATGAAACGTAAAGGCGGTTAAGTGTAATGGCCATATTGTACAATAAAAAATTGCCGAAATTTTTGTAGCGAGCGCTTTTGGTAGCCCAGCAATCAGGTATACCCCCCCCTTCTTGCTATTACGGCCGAAGTACTTTATTAAAGCAAAACACTTGGACACACTCCTGTTAACGACAGATTGGAACAGCGTTCTGATACGAAGATGAGAGCAACTACAGTTTGAGTAGTTCAGGCATCGTGGGCACGAATGACCGCTTTTTTTAGATGTCACAGCCTTGGTATTGTATCATATGTTGCTGATAAATAGAACACAACCGTTTTTATGCCATTGGAAGAGAATGAAATAGAATGGTGAACAATATTACAATTAAATTCTTGCAGCGATGATGGAGCCCTCAGTCCAGGGCCCTTCTGGTCGTTGCCATCTTGCGAGTTCTAGCAGTTATCGTGACGTGTTCTTCGAGCTTCGATCAGGACAGCGCATCCTCCCACTGCTCCAAAACTTGTTTTCTGTGTACGATGCAACATACAGACAGACGCTAAGTGCGTATACACAACTGTACCAGGGCACGTTTCATCGAACGAATCCCCACACCTTTAACACAATAGCAATAAAGAGATCGTTGTGCGAAAATTCCGGCGTTGGCGTCATTGGTTGTGATTGAAACATCATCGACTTATGCGGGACCAAAAAATGGACAACGACGCAAATGAAAGAAATAAATGATAAAAAATTCCGGAGCAGATGGGGACCAATCCAGGGTTGTTTGAGTCCGAGTGGGGATCGAATCCGGGTCGTTTGTGGGGCAAGCGGATGTTCTACCACACGGCCATGCCTCTGTTTTTTTTCCCTTAATGAATGAGATTATCACCAGTAAGTACACAGAACATACTTCATCAGAAGTCAGGCAAACACACACAAGCGTCGAGAACGGGAAGACACTCCAAAACGGGGTCAAAAGTCTCGACAACACTGCGCACTTGAGCAGCTGCTTCTCGGAAGACAGATCTCGTCGACCGTGGTGGCTCGGCGTGTCTATCGATCATGCGACTTTTCCATAATGAATAAAGTCTCAACAACATAAACAAGTCGTAAGGAGTACTATCAGTCAGACTCTTTTTAAACGGAAGGAACCTAATACCATGGGCTGCGATTGGAAGTTCTTTTCTTAACGTTCTTTTTAGAATGTCCTAAAAACAAAAAGCATCACGACAATGAATGAAACAATGCTCTATAGTCTCAGATTGTTTGCAGAGTCTACGATTCACTGTCCAGGGTACGTATATTTATTTTTCATTCAGCCACGTTTTGACTGGCAGCGTGGAAGTGTTTAGTTTAAAGAAAAATAATTTCGCTGAAGGAGATATACACATTCTACGTACACGAAATAATGCATTGTGACCAGACAGAAGCGAATATGGCTTTCGATAAACAGGTTCGGGGAAAAGGTTATTCACAAGTGCAGCGGTTAAATTTGTTCTGTCAATAGTATACAAATGCTCTAAGGTAAACCTGGCTTTCAAAAAACTGACAGTGTCAACAATTTCTTTTAGGAATCCCCGCAACGGCAATTCCTTAGCAACGTTTGTTGTGACATGAATAAAAGGAAGGTGGTAACATAGACGGTTACGAAGAACCGCTGATAGAAATGGGTGGCACATATCCTT